TATATAGTTTTCGGTTCTGGGTGCCCTAACAGAGGACACTTAGCCGACAATTTGGCACAGATAGCTAAAACCCAAAAGTCACACCCCGAACCAGGACGTATTGCTATCCTTTTAAGTAAAAAATAACTACAAATAACTTACCTGAAAAATGAAGGCGTCTAACTTTACACCAAAAAAACCATACACTTTTTCCCATTGTTACAATTACCCGATGACGATTAGGTAGATATCAACTAGAAGCATGTATTTAATAGTTATAAAGCTTATTTTGACACAAAAAGAATAAAGCACTAGTCGAAAAGCAGCAATCAAATATAAATAGACCACAATATTAAAATTCAAATTAAAACTATATAAAAGACAAATACTCTAAAAGCGCAAAAGATTAGAACCAAATAAAATGAATAACCGTAATAACCTAAAAATCACACTAAAATTGCAAAAACTATTACTGTAAAATCATGAGATTACATCAATAATGCATTTGCGTCGGAGTATCGCAAATGTCGAAAGTACAGTGTTTCCATGAAAATTTAGCTATGTTTTTAGCAGTATTATAGGACCATTTCTACCACGCGCATCCAACGATATTGGCGTTCCACAGTTCACTGTATTTTCCTCACACCTCTAGTATAAATGATTTGACATAACGAAACTAACAATAATTATAATTAATGTAGATTAATAAGTGTTTCGTGAATTCTAAATAAAACATATTATATAAAAGTGTAAAAGGAAATGTAATTTATTTCCCTATTTTCTTCTGTAATATCTTCAATTATTATGTTTAATTTCTATAAATAAACCAACTGGTTAGGTGAAACATTGTGATATATGATTTTATTTATGTGTACTATGCGTACACTTTAATATACAAAACACCTGGAACATTTTTTAAATAATTGTGGTCGTAGAAATAATTGTGTACATAACTCGTTTAAAAGTGTATTTTATGCACTTGCCAAATATATTATCCATACAGATTAATCAGACTATTTTTTTACTTAACTTCAGTACATCTCTTACTACTAAAACTATTTTTATCAATGGAAAAAAAGGGCCGTGTTCTCGTATGTTTTGACGCATTTTCGGCCTCAGTCCATCGGATCCCCCCTCTAAATATATATGAATTTTGCTTAGAATTGCTAATCCTACAATTCTCTATTCGTGCTTGCTGACTGGGAAAATAAATACACAAAATCGTCAGGACTTCACAACAAATACACTTTTATGAATGGCTAGTTGGGGATGTGTATCGAACGGATCGATTTTTCGTGTTACCGATTAGCCGAATTATGAACTTTTAAATCTACAAGAAATACGGACTGGTGAAGACAGCATCGCAGATCCAGTGACGTTTTTGGGATTTTAAATAATGATAGTTACTCTTTTATTGTAAGTACAATTTATGCCAGATTTTACTTTTGACGAATTAGAGAAACGTTTATTACGATTAAAAATCGAATCACCTTCAACTGATCTTGATTCAGATTCTAATTCAACAGTAACTAATTTACAAGTAACAAATAATTTACAAGTAGTAACCAATAATTTACAAGAACAAGAAGTAACAAATAATTTACAAGGAACCAATAATTTACAAGAATTAAATATAGCTTTCAAACCGGAATTTCTTAATTGTTTACCATTCTATGGTAATCCTAATGATTTAAGTAGATTTTTACCTGTGAGTAAATCTTTGCTCACACAATTTTATGATATAGAACATCCAGAACATTTTCAAAATACATATTTATTGAACTCAATTATTTCAAAATTTAGGGATAATGCTAAAAAGGTAGTTAATATTCCAAATTGTGCAAATTGGAATGATTTAAAAAAATACTTTAACTAGAAATTTCTCTGATGAAATAGATGAAGTTTGTTTAAACAGGGATCTTGTTATGTTAAGACAAAATGAAAATGAATCGGCACAAAATTATTATATGTTTACATATAATAAATTTATTATAGTATAGTTATATTAACATACACGAAGTAACAGACGCCGCAAAAAATTTGAAACGAAAGTTATATCCAAATTTAACATACAAAACATTTTTGTTAGGATTAAAAGATCCCTTAGGGGGAATAAGATGCATGAAGCGAACCACACTTAGTGAGGCTTTGTAATTTGTTTTTAAAGAAGGTAATGTTCATTATTTGCAAAATTCTTCTCGCAATTTCCAAAATCAAAATTTGTCTCGAAATTTACCAGTACAAAATACATTCAGAAATTTTTCAAGGCATAATACCACTCAAATATCAAATTTCCAATGTAATAAACAATAATTAGGTACCACCGAATCAAAATAGAAATTTTTTGAATATTTAACACACCTAATGATTTTTTCTACCAACAAAGAAATAATTTTCCGACTCAACTTATTAATGTAAATTCAAGACCCATACAACGTAATTACCCAACTAATGCCCATGTTTTCGGACAGAATTATCCAAATAAGAATACAAATGTATTCAAACCAAATCAAAAAAAAAAAATTACCAAACCCTACACCTATGTTAGTACCAACTAGGAATACTATAAAAAATTATTCGAGACTAGGACCTTCAAATTGTTATTCACCTCACAAACATAACCTATATATAATTCAATGGTTAGCCCTGCAAATCAATATAATAATGAATATAATGATTTTGAAAAAGTAAATGATAGTAAAGGTCAAACTCCAAATTTTCGGTAAAGGCCTTGGAACAAAATAACTAGCAACAAAATCCCGTACACATTTCAATAAATTGTTTGGATTTAAGTGAATTACCCTATATAATTTTCCCTGAGCATAAATTAAAAATATTGGTGGACACAGGATCCTAGAAATCATTCATTAACCCTAAAGTAGCTGAAAAATTTGACCCAAATGATATAATAGCTGAACCATTTGTAGTGACTACAGTTTTCCAGAAATCGACACATATACATAGTATAAATATTAATGCCTCTAAAATAATAAAGGAAAATTAAAATTATTTTTATTTAAGTTCCACAATGTATTTGATGGCTTAATAGGTATAGATAAGTTATTGCAAGCAAATATAATTTTTCAACAAGGATGTATTTTTACACTATTTGCAAATACTCCACTTCATTATCATAAGATAGGAGCTTCTAAATACTCTAACTATAATAACACAGTTTCAATTGAACCTAGAATTCAGCAAATAGTTAATATAAAAACCTCTATACAAAACGGCGATATAATTATTCCTTATCAAAAACTTAATGATTGTGAGATACCGGAATGTGTTACTACAGCAAAAGATGGTTACGCATTAACCACAATTATAAACAGCGATATCAATACAGAAACACTTGATTTATTAAAACCTATTTTAGTAGAAATTTGTTTGCATGATTGAATAGAGAATAAAACCCCCTTTCAAATGAGCTATCACTCACCACCCCATGCCATTTAAATTTTTCGAAAGGGTTGCTCCCCTCCAGTAAGGGATGAAATTAAGGGTAAACTATTTAAACAAAAATGTACATTGTAGAGATCAAAAATCGACGTGTCTCGGCGATTTTCCTAACAAAACTCCAGTATCGAGTTAGATAGGGGGGTAAGACTTATGATGCTCACTGTATATAGCACAAGTAGTGTGTTACAACTGTTTTAGATATGGACATTTGGCAAGCATTGTAAAGGTGCAGTGAGCTGTCTAAAGTGTAGAGGAAATCATTATACCAAAAACTGCTCAGAAACAATAAACCCCAAATGCTTCTACTGTAATGGAGCGCATTTTACAAACAAAGTCAATGAGTGTTTTGATTTTAAAAGTCAAAAAGAAATTAAGACGCTAATGGCACAAACAAACATATCTTATAAAGATGCTTGCTACAAAACATCCAAACAGACATATGCAATGGCTGCCTCTTCAAATATTAACCAATCGGTTATAAGAAATCTCCATATTACACACAAGTCACTAATACAAGTACTAAACTTATTAGAGTTAGTACCCCTAATCCAACCCTAAAAGCGCATAAAAATATTATAGCCCTTTTTAATTTTTTTTTTCTACTGGTGGCATTATTAGTTTACCTAGATATATTTCCAATGTTAGCTCAGGATCTCCAAAAGATCTAGATTCTAGTCTAAAAGAAATAGTTAACAGCTCCCTAGTCATTGAAAGCCTTAAAGAAAAAAATAGTATTGATATACAAGAACTCGAACTAGCTATCTTAAAAACAAATTTAGAAAACAAACTTCCCCCTATCAGTTCTTAGTTAAATGGCATATTTAAAAATGTATCAATTCTTAAGATGAATTCCTAATATTAGTTCCTAAGATAAATTCCTAAGATAAATTCCTAAGATAAATTCCTAAGATAAATTCCTAAGATAAATTCCTAAGATAAATTCTTAAGATAAATTCCTAAGATAAATTTCTAAGATAAATTCCTAAGATAAATTCCTAAGATAAATTCCTAAGATAAATTCCTAAGATAAATTTCTAAGATAAATTCCTAAGATAAATTCCTAAGATAAATTCCTAAGATGATAAATTCCTAAGATGATAAATTCCTAAGATGATAAATTCCTAAGATGATAAATTCCTAAGATAAATTCCTAAGATAAATTCTTGAGATAAATTCTTAAGATAAATTCCTAAGATAAATTCCTAAAATAAATTCCTAAGATAAATTCTTAAGATAAATTCCTAAGATAAATTTTTAAGATTAATTCCTAAGATAAATTCCTAAGATAAATTTCTAAGATAAATTCCTAAGATAAATTCCTAAGATAAACTCCTTAGATAAATTCCTTAGATAAATTCCCAAGATAAATTTCTAAGATAAATTCCTAAGATAAATTCCTGAGATACATTTCTAAGATAAATTCCTGAAATGTATTTCTAAGATAAAGTCCTGAGCCAAATTACTCCAAACTTAAATTTCTGAGATAAAAGAGTGTCTTTTTTATGTATTCGCCTTTTATAACCATGGATGATGTTTAAAAATATGTACTTAATATGTTTCAGTGCAATAGAACTATTCAGGAACTTTACAAGCAACCAACATACCGATTCAGGTTTGTCTGTTCTAAGGACATTCCGTCTTCTTAGGATATTAAAGTTAGTAAGATTCATGCCAAATTTGAGACGTCAATTATTTGTGATGCTCAGAACTATGGACAATGTAGCAATATTTTTTTCATTATTGATTCTTTTCATATTTATCTTCAGGTAAGTTTTTCGTTAAGCAATAGCTTGGATAGGGAATATATATGTCTTTGAATAAAATTTAGGATGACGCAATAACTTGCATATTAAACCCTTTTGAACGCATTTACTTTTTTGAAAATGTACTGAATAACTAATGTACCTAAAGTCAATTTAAAAAAAATGCGGATATACCAATTAGAAATATATTCCAGTTTTGCGTCACCCTTTAAATAAATCTCTAAATAAACTTTGTGTATTGTATTAATGTTTCTGGTCCCATGCTTTAGTTTGTTTATTAGACAAACACCGTATTTAAATGACATTTATTGAGATATAACTTTATAGCCAAAGGAAATACAACATAACAGCAATGTTTGGTCAATATCAAATATTACCATGAGCAATTGACTGATCTAAAATTTATAACTTTTGACACTTCATTGCTTTTGCTGAATTTAAATAACTGTAATTCAATACTGGACAACCGTTAATTGAATCCAATAAAGAAGTGAATATTTGAAAAATGATAAAAAACAGTTTTGTTTCCTTAACTCCGAACGGAAAAAAAGAACGTGCTAGTTTAAAACGTAATATTCTAGAAATTATGATTAAAAATCATGGAAAATTAGAGTTCCTTCATATATTGCAAACACAACCCAATTAAAGTGGTGTTGAATGAATTAAAACCTTATGTATCCTCTCATAAGACTAACTTTATCAAGGAAAAATGGGATGAAACAAGAAACCGCAGAGTTGTCAGGAAGCACTTAAGTTATCCTGACAACACTGCAGCAAACAAATACTTGACTATGACTAGAGACAGAATCTGCGCCTAGTCACAGGCATTCTGACTGTTCATTGCCAAGTACGAAAGCATCTCCATATTATGGGGCTATCAGAATCTGCACTCTGCAGAGGGTGCGAACAAGAAGATGAGACCATCGAACATATCCTTTACGATTGCTCGACGCTCTCAATTATTAGAAGATTTGAGTTCGGCGAGTATCGGCTAACACCGGCCGATATAAAAGAAGCACCTCTTGGCGACGTTGTCAACTACATTAAATCTGTAGGCTGGCTCACGAGCTCACGTTACAGATACAGAAGACTAATTTTAGCCAGGCTACCAGTCTACAGAAGATTGCAATGAAGAGGCTGACTTTGTAGCCCTAAAGGGAGCCTCAAAGGTTCTTATTATTAACCCAGAACGTTTGTGTGGTGTCATAGAGTCACCCATCAGTACATGCACAAAGCAGTGGATGTTAAATAAATATCAGGAATGGTGGAAAAATTCACCAGGCCAGAGCGTTTTAAAAATGACCATCGCCAAAAGTAATCGAGCATCTACTAAGCCATTAGGAAAAATAGTAGGCCTATAAATAAGTTATTGCAGACTTAATAAACATATATTGCATCGACCTGGCAGAAGATAACTTGTACCGATTTTATCAGGAAGATGAGGAAACTGCAGTATACGGCGAAGGTCTATCAAGACTAAGATTCATTACACTTGGAAAAGAAAAATCCAAGGGCAACTAGTCTATGGAGTCTACTACAATAGACAAAACTAGAAAAGGTATTTTAACGAATGATTAAAGGATATACACAATGGATTTGAAAAGATCAAAGTGGGAGAGGATACAAGGATAGTCCTTACCAAATCTAACCTTATCTAATCCTCTTATAATGTGACGTTTTAGGGCGATGCGTGACGTAAGAAACGTAATATACGACCCTTGCAAAAAACTTGAAGATAATAATCACTCAAAGAATTACTTTAGGAATACAATAAAGATTAACGAAGACATTTGGATAGTGGACAGTGGATAATAAAAGATGGGTAAATATAGGCAAGACGCCCATTTCTTAAAAATGCATTTTTTACAAAACTCTTATTAGGTTCTATGCCAATTTTTTAATTTTTAGAACGTACGTCTGCAGACCTTAGAACTTCGGTTATCATAACTCACAACATGGCCTTCTCAATCTGTAATTTAGTACAGGTTTTATATTAAACAGTATAAAGAATCAAAATCAAAACCTAATAAATAAAATTTATTTAGTATTTGATACAATTAAAAAGAAAGTGTTGATTCTCAATACATCTATTTTAGTATGAATAGAATAATATTCCAATTGTGACAAGAAGACAAGACAAATTATACCTAAAATGATTTTTCATAAACTAGTTAATATTGATCCAACAAAGTAATAATTTTTCCAACAGTACTTTACTACGAAGGCGTAGAAGGGCCACATAGTAAAAAAAAAATATTTCGACTTTAAAGTCGAAATTCCGACTTCAAACTCGAAATTTCGACTTTAATCTCGAAATTTCGACTTTAATCTCGAAATTTCGACTTTAATCTCGAAATTTCGACTTTAATCTCGAAATTTCGACTTTAATCTCGAAATTTCGACTTTATTCTTGAAATTTTGACTATAATCTCGAAATTTCGACTTTAATCTCGAAATTTCGACTTTAAACTCGAAATTTCGACTTTATTCTCGAAATTTCGACTTTATTCTCGAAATTTCGACTTTAATCCCTAAATTTCGACTTTAATCTCGAAATTTCGACTTTAAACTCGAAATTTCGACTTTATTCTCGAAATTTCGACTTTATTCTCGAAATTTCGACTTTAATCCCTAAATTTCGACTTTAATCTCGAAATTTCGACTTTAAACTCGAAATTTCGACTTTATTCTCGAAATTTCGACTTTTTTCTCGAAATTTCGACTTTAAACTCGAAATTTCGACTTTATTCTCGAAATTTCGACTTTATTCTCGAAATTTCGACTTTAATCCCTAAATTTCGACTTTAATCTCTAAATAAGTCGAAATTTAGGCTGAGTTCGGTTTGGCGTTTGCTGTACTCGGAGTGCACTCGGTATGCCTCAATTGTGGTCGTTTTGGCACTCAGAGCATTCTCTTCCCAGAGTTGGCCGGTGGAGATCAACGGGTATCTGTAGGAATGTGTCAAAAATGTCAAACGTCAATATTCTAATCTATGATTTAATCAGTTTATACGTATTATTACTTGTTTGTTTTTGTTATAACTATTTCCTATTTGACTAAAATTAATTTTTTACAGTCCATTCCACACACAAAAGTGTATTAAAGTGCAAACTATCACTAGAGTGTCATTTGTCATTCCCGTTGTGTTCGTCTTGAGATTGTAAAAAGAGCGAACTCTGTCGATGACGTCACGCACTCCGTGCGCGCTCTGTCCGATCCGTCGAGTTCCAAACCGAACTTACCCTTAGAGATTAAAGTCGAAATTTCGAGAATAAAGTCGAAATTTCGAGAATAAAGTCGAAATTTCAAGAATAAAGTCGAAATTTCGAGATTTAAGTCGAAATTTCGAGATTAAAGTTGGAATTTCGATTTTAAAGTCGAAATAAAAAAAAATTATATTATGTGGCCCTTCTACGCCTTCGTACTTTACACATACGTCTTAACTAATATTCATACGAAATAAGTCGAGAAGTTTTAGTCAAAACAATGTCTATTCTAAAACTAAAAACGATGTTGTTACTAGCTATTAGTATGTCAGAATATGAGGTTAAGGAGTTTTGATTTAAATAAAAAATGTAACTAACACGAGTACGATAAATTATATTAATAACGCCAACAGACTCCCATTTTTTTTAAGGCTGCACGTAAAATATATGCACACATACATACGTATTCACAAAGAGTCTTTATACCTATATCTAAAACATTAAACAGAAACGTCAACTTATTCTGAGTAAAAGTAGAGTTGGATGCTTTGTATCGTTACTGTGATTTTTAAAATTTAAATATATAAGATTGTTTTCTTAAATAATTAACTTTTCAACCAAATGAGGAAGAAACTTCACAATAATAAGATGATCCAGTACAAGATGAAATACGTATTTCACTAAAAATGGGGCCTAAGCCCCAAAATGGCCATATGGTTATACACAAGGATGATAAGACCCATGATAACCTCTGACGCAGGCATGTGGAATAGCTCAACTCTCAGGTATTCAGTGGCTCGCCTGTCTGAGTGCCATTGCAGTAATGAAGGTAATATTAAACCTCACGACACTGCACATCTTCATACAAGGAGAAACCAGGTCTCTTATTCACAGACTAATGCAGGGACAAAACCGAATCAGCCAACTACATAGCTTTGATCATACGTGGCTATACCAGTAAATAAAACAGAATAAGATTCTAGTAATGCCTACTGACAGCCATAACCTCTTACACATTTGAAAGAAATTTTCAAAATTAAATACCAACTTAAGAATCCTGAAAACAGGGACCTTCCATGCAGGCTGAACTCGCTTGGAATACAAACGGTTCAAAAACCAAGGAAGGAGCCGATGCTGGAATCTTTAAATCGATAACAATTATTTCGCCAAGTCTAGGAAAATATGTTACACTAATAGCCATACAACACTGTCCAAGAGAAATAATAGATCAGCAAGTATCAGGCAAAATTGTTGTCATATACTCTGATAGCCAAGCAGCTCTAAAGGCAATTTTCTCACCAGAAATCCAGTCACGACTGGTAAGACCTGGCAGAGCTAAGTAGTCAAAATAAGGTAATCTTAGCCTGGGTGCCAAGCCACAAGGGATATCAGGACAACAAATAAGGCCATGACAGACCCCGAACTCTCTTGTGGCGTTGCTAAGGCATTGTGCAAGGCATCCATCAAGCAATGGATGCTAAAAAAGTCTAAGGAATGGTAGAACAACTATCCAAGATTAACACAGACCAAACATCATTAGGATATCATCGGCCATGTTCGCGAAAGGGTTCAGAAACGTCAAATCGTTAATATAACAGTAAATCTTTTTACCTAATAAGGCACTTGAGTGACATCAGTCCACGTTCTGTGCCAGTGTGAAGGCCTGATCAGATTGAGGTTTCCAACTATATGCGAAGAAAAGCCAGACGCAAGAAATTACATGCGACAGCCACTCTCAAAGCCTCTAAGTCTAATAAAAAAAGACCAAGCTAGATGACATAGGTACTCTCAAAAAC